AAGTCGGAGATGCACTTCTTGGCGGAGTTGATTACCCTGGATAGATGGCCGCGATATGAGCGTAGGGAGGCAGAGATGCTTTCAATTGTTGGGGCGGGGGTGGCTTGTGGCATGGTACAGGTGCTTTCATATGATTCCATGTTTTGTGACGCCATGTGTTATCATAAGATCATAAATTGGGAGAGATAGTCGTTCGTGCGTGTAGATATATTGTCATGAAATCCAAGAATGGCATTTTCCCGAGATAAAGGTAAAGATGTGAAATAATATGATGATACGAGAAAGCGATGTGAATACGAAGGGGAAAGGCGAATATCTATACATCCCCCTTCTAGCCGTGAGGGTACGATGTGGCAACACTTGAAAAAATGAATTTTGGCCTGGAGTTGAATTGACGACGAAAGGGTTTAAAGAGACGCTGAGACTTTTTCCGGTCGGGCGACGTTCGTTCGCTTGAGTTGGAGAGACCCGGATGGTTCCGTTTCGATTTGGCGGGCGCGTTCTTCTTCGTTGTTGGCTCGGGGACGGTCGCGATATAAACGAAGAAAACGTCGATTGCGTATGGAGCGCCAGCCGTTGGGTAAGACGATAACGTAGGAGTGGCCATCTTTCCTGATGGACGTGATGGTGCCTCGTTCTCTCCATTTTCCGGTTTTGTGATCTTGGATCCAGACTTCGTCGTTCACGTGTAACTGTTTAAGCTTTCGCGTTGTTTTGTCAGCGTTTGTCTTTCCCTTTTCAGCCGCGTTTCTTTTTGCTGCTGCTCCTTCCAGGAGGTCGATGGGGGCGTGGCAGGCGGGTATGGCCGGTAGTTGGCTGCGTTGTCTACGGCCGAATAGCATTTGCGAAGGGCTGAAGCCGTCGGACCTTGGAACGTTTCGCCATTCCAGAAGACGTTGGCGGAACTCCGACCAGTTGCCGTTGCATTTGGTGAGAAGTTTTTTCATATTTTTTACTCCGGCCTCCGCGAGACCGTTGGACTGACTGTTGTGCGGCGATGTTAATT